GTAGTCCCAGGATCGAGTCCTGCATTGGGCTCCCTGCTCAGGGGAGAGTCTGCTTCTCCCTCTGACACCCCTCTTGTGCTCTCTAATAAATAAATAAAATCTCTAAAAAAACAAAAACAAAAACAAAAAAAGAATTGCTGTGCCTATACCACTGAGACAACAAAAAATACTAAAAAATTTTCAGGATTTGTTTGCACTTCTTTTCCAACTCAACCCAACCTGTCAAAGTCTGAACACAAATACTGTATTCATAAGTTACTTGAATTGGTTTTCTTTTGTTTTTCTTTAGCATGGATATGGTATTCATTTGAAGTACAAATGGATTCATTTGTTTTGGTCTGTGTGTAGCTTTAAGTTCATTTTCTCTTATCTTTATTGCTTTTTCTATGTTTTCTAAATGTGTTGAATATTAACATGTACCCCAAAGTAAAAATTATATAAAAAGTTATTCTCAGACAGGTGTCAGTCCCTCCTACATCTTATCCACCATGTGTCCACCCACATTGTAGATAACCACTTTCATCACTGTGTAGTTTATCCTTCCTTTGGTGTCTTTTATAAAAGATAAACAGATCTATAACTGCTCTTGTTTATTAAATACTGCATACTATTTATACTCTTTTGAACTTGGCTTTTTTTACTTGGTAGTATCTCCTGGAAATCACTCCATATTACTCAAGAGAGATTAAGGTAGTTTTCAATATTTTCTAATTATAAATAATATTGTAATACTGTGCATATGTATTTTAATATTATTAGAGGTATATCTCCAGGGTGAATTCCTAGATGTGAGATTGTCAGGTAGAAGGGTAAATGATATGTAGATTTGTTAAAACTACCAGTTCTTCTTCATTTTGCATTCCCAATGAGAATGACTGCTTTGAAACACCCTCACCAACAGAATACTGTCAAGCTTTTGAATTTTTGCTAATGTGATGGGTGAGAAATGGTATTGGTCTGATTTTTCTTAAAAAAAAACAAAACAATCAGACAAACCTTTGTTGAGGTAGAATTTATCTATAGTAAATTTCAATATAATAAAATTTACTAATTTTAGGTTACAGTTTAATAACTTTGCTTAACCCAAGGTCATAAAAGTTTTTGTTCCTATGTTTAGACCTACAATCCATTCACAGTTCGTTTTTGAGTATGACATGAGGTAGGGGTTGAGATTCACTTTTTTCCTCAAATATTCCCTTATTTTACCCCCATGTATTGTAACAAGCATCTTTCCTCCAGGGAATTGTCTGTGAACCTTTTAGAATATCAAGTGACTCTAAGTGTGGTCCGTTTCCACAAGTGTCAGACTATGTTAGCTCCAGGCTTACAGCCAGGAGGAGCAGTCTGTCTGATTATGTTCATTCTCCAATCCCTTTGGTAGTTGCCTACCACACAACGTCCAGGTTTTGAAAAGTTGTTTTCTGTTGGAAGATGTCTTCCGCCAGTGTTTCCCTCTATCACTACTAGAAGATGGACGTCGTATCTTAGTGTAGATTTAACTGGTATTTCTCTTATTATGAGAAGCTTGATCCCAGGACCCTGGGACCATGACCTGAGCTGAAGGCAGACGCTTAACAACTGAGCCACCCAGGCGCCCCTCACTGAGTTAGTTTTATCACTGATTGTCTACAGTTTTCTGGATTACTATTATGTCATCTGCAAGCAGATGGTTTTATTTATTTTTTCTAATTCATATGCCCCTAGTTGTTGTTCTAGTCTAATTGCATTTTCTTTTTTTGTGTGCTGTTTTTATCAGGTTTAGGTACCAATGTTACACTAGCTTCAAAAAAAAAAAAAAGAATTTGGTAATTTTCTTTCATTTTTTTTTTATCTTTCAGAGGACACTTAATGTAGTTTTGGGATTGCTAAAATTTTTGTTAAATTTCTCTGTGAGGGGTGCCTGGGTGGCTCAGTTGGTTAAGCGACTGCCTT